TTATTAGTCATAACTTTTATTTGTCATAATTACTGATTGACATAATGTTAACTTTTTATAATAAGCACTTGACATAATGTTTATTTCACATAATTTAAGTTTGACATAATGTTCATTAGACATAATTTTAATTTGACATAATGTTCATTGTTCATAATTTTTATTTGTCATAATTATCATGCAGTATAAAATGTACTTGATATAATGTTCATTTGTCATAACTATTTTATGACATAATGTTTATTTGTAATAATTTTTAATTGGTATAACGCTAAATTAGTATAATGTGTATTTGCCATAATGTTCATTTGTCATAATTTTCATTTGTCATAATTCCCATTTGTCATAACTTTATGTGTCAACGATTTTTTGCTGTATCTTCCCATCCTTGGTTTTTTAATTAGTAGATTGTATATGTTGGTAAAGTAGATCAGGTGGCGCTGTCTAATATTTCTGAAATTAATTCTAATTATTTTTTATTTTATATTTATATATTTTTAAGGATAAGTTTTTTGAAAAGAAAATAATTAAAATTAGTTACTAGTAAGAATTTTATTTTCAAATAATATGATTATATTTTTTAATTATAATCATAGGTGTCTCTAGTATTAAGATATATATTGTAATTTTTAAGAAATGCAAGAATTCGCGTTGTTAAACGGAAAGTTTTAGCAAAAATAATATATATTATTAATTATTAATTCTGTTAAATATTTACTAGCAAGTCGATTGAACAATATAAAAATCTTATAATGTTAATTATTACAGAATTATTAAAAAAAATTTATTAAATTAAAATAAAAAATAATTAGAATTAATTTCAGAAATATTAGACAGCGCCACCTGATCTACTTTACCAACATATACAATCTACTAATTAAAAAACCAAGGATGGGAAGATACAGCAAAAAATCGTTGACACATAAAGTTATGACAAATGGGAATTATGACAAATGAAAATTATGACAAATGAACATTATGGCAAATACACATTATACTAATTTAGCGTTATACCAATTAAAAATTATTACAAATAAACATTATGTCATAAAATAGTTATGACAAATGAACATTATATCAAGTACATTTTATACTGCATGATAATTATGACAAATAAAAATTATGAACAATGAACATTATGTCAAATTAAAATTATGTCTAATGAACATTATGTCAAACTTAAATTATGTGAAATAAACATTATGTCAAGTGCTTATTATAAAAAGTTAACATTATGTCAATCAGTAATTATGACAAATAAAAGTTATGACTAATAAGAATTATGACAAATGAAAATTATGACTAATAAGAATTATGACAAATGAGCATTATGTGAAATGCAAATTATGACAAATGAACATTCTGTCAAATACACATTATACTAAATAAGCGTTATGTCAAGTGCTGATTATTAATAATAAACATTATATAATAAAGTGATTATTACAAATGATAGTTATGATTATTAAGAATTATGAAAAATGAGCATTATGTCCAATAGTCATTATGTTAAATTAGCGTTATACCAGTTAAGAATTATTACCAATAAATATTATGTCAAAAAGTAGTTATGACTAATGAACATTATATCAAATACATTTTATGATAAATGATAATTATGCCAAATTAAAATTATGATCAATGAAAATTATGTCAAATAAAGATTATGACAAATATATATTATGCCAAATAAAAATTATGACAATTGAAAGTTATACCGAATATAACTTATACTAAATAAACATTCTGTCAAATGCGAATTATGCTGAATAATTAGTATGTCAATTAAAATTTATGCTAAAGTAAAATTATGACCAAAAAAATTATGACAAATATTGGTTATGTCAACTGTCTTTATGTCAAATGAATATTATGACATTTGAGATTTGGGGAAAATTACGGCACCACCGCGTAGTTATCTGGGCAGTAAAAAAACATTTTAAATTTATGTTCATTAGAGGGGCTGAATTTTCACTGGCCTTTTAGTTTAGGTTGAAAAAAATACCTAATTTACTTATAAAAATTATACTTTCTAGAATATAAGATTATAATAAATTATATATAAATAAAATGTAAACTTTTTCTTGTTATCTCATCCTTAATTTTTTTAAAGACATTATAAGAATAATTTTATTAAAACTGTTAGTGCACTTATAACAGTGCAATCTTATTATTACACTAGTGTTCCGACTTGTTTATATACATTTATGTATACGGGTCATATTCACTATTAATAGTTTAGAATTTGAAATATTACACTAAAATCTTTGATATATGGCAAGTTTTAAGTTGAAGTAGCAGTATACAACAAAACAATTTTTGCTTGTATTAATACTTAAATTTAAATATCCTTGTTTTACAAAAACATACTTTAATTTTTTAACTCTAATTTTTAACCTATTACATTTAAACTTCAACTCTTACATAACACCTTTTGCAAAATGAAAATTTTTTAGTGAATAATGCAGACAAAATGCTTTTAATTGCATAATTTCTGCGCATACTTAGCGCAGAATTATTCTGTTTTAATACCACAATTTCACACAATTGAGCATGCATAATCTTAGCACATAATCAAAGGGTCTCAAAATATATGTTTTTCTTATCACATATAACATACATTAATTTTTAAACCAGTCTTTCTCGAAATTTCAACTAAAAAGAATGTCTGTCTCATGTGAATAATTTTGTTGATAAGTTGACTGATTTATATTGAAATAATGCTTTATTTTACATAATTTTTTGAAGTTTGACAAAATCCCATTTTCTAAGCAAATAACTTTAGTGCAAAAAGAAAACTATAAAGATTTTGTAAATATTATTTTTCTTCAATTTACATTAAAAACACTTATTATAAATTATAATAAGAAAAATAAATAAAGCTATATATTGACTAAAAAAAAGTTTAGAAATTAAATTAATACTTCTGGAATGCTTTAAATAAAGTATAAAAATCCGGACCGTTTCCGGGGCCGGATCCGGTCCCAGAAACTATGCCAATTTCCGGCGCAGGAACCGATACCGTTTCCGATCTACGATCCTGAGCAGGATCCGACGTCGGGTCCGGTATCGGATACGACATAGTATTCGGTATAGTATCCGGTATAGTATCCGACGTCGTTTACGGGCTCGGAATTTTCAGTAGGGTTATTTTTAATAAAATTTTTGAAAAATTATCATTTTGATAAAATTTTGAAAAATAAAATTTTAAGAAATAGATATTTCTAAAAAAAATTTTAAGAAATAACTATTTTTTTAAATAAAATTTTGAAAAATTAATATCTTTAGTTAAAATTATTATTTTTAAATAAAATTGTAAGAAATAGTTATTTTTAATAAAATTCTTGAAAAATTATCATTTTGATAAATTTTTGAAAAATAAAATTTTAAGAAATAACTATTTTTTTAACCCTCGGAGCACATACTGGGTCACACAGACCCTGTCATTAATTTCAATGAAGTGTAATTTGAAAAGTCGGCAATACAACACGAACCTAAGGCCATATAGTGGTAACTAACTAATAAGGAATAATAAGTAACATGCTAATCCAAAGAAAATAATAAAATTCTAGTAAATATGTTATTAAAAAAGTATAGTTTTAAAAAGTTGTGTCGAAAATCACATTTTTATCGTCTTAAAAGTTACCTTCGTTAAACTACAAAATAAATACCTTTTTTAAAAAATAAAATAAGGTGGTATTTTTTCCCTTATTCTAACACACTTCGAGAATATAAATCCCAATTTTTAGCTTAAAATATTAAAAATTACAAAAGTTACATTTTTTTTTAAACTCAATTTTTTCTTTTTAATTAGTTAACTTTACGAATTTTTTTTCAATATGCAAATAATTTAATAATATTTCTAAACTGCATATTCTTATTTTACAAGGTTCAATGAATAAAAAAATATTTTTTTTGTGTTGATCAGTCCAATAGTTCAAAAATGGGGGAGTTTTGAAAAGTAAACAGGGTCACAGCGACCCAGACTGTGCTACTTGTTCGAAAAAAGAGGTGTGTGCTCCGAGGGTTAAATAAAATTTTGAAAAATTAATATTTTTAGTTAAAATTATTATTTTTAAATAAAATTGTAAGAAATAGTTATTTTTAATAAAATTTGAAAAAAATTACTATTTTAATAAAATTTTGAAAAATTATTATTTTTTGATAAAATTATTATTTTTAATAAAGTTTCAAGAGATAATTATTTTTACTAAAATTTTTGAAAAATTATCATTTTGATAAAATTTTGAAAAATAGAACTTCAAGAAATAGTTACTTTTAATAAAAAAATTTTAAATTTGAAAAATTCATTGTCAACACGCCCCCCCCCCTTTTTTTAGATTTTTTGTCGAGTATGGAATGTGGAGGGTGGCACCTGATCGAGTAAATGATCGTTTGATGTGGTGGGTGGATCCAATCCTAAGGGGCAGCGGCCCTCGAAAGCGGTATACCCGCAGCCAATGGTACCAGGAGTATTCCTGGTGCCAGAGGAATCAGGCTTATGTCTGTCAGGGCTTTTGGGCAATTGTGAGGAAGAAGAAGTATACACATATACATAAAATTTTCTTTTTCAGGCTGTATCCACAATAAGAATTTTCAGCGTTGTTCGCGAAAGGTACACGTAAGTTACGCGAATGTTTTGAAGAATTGCCAACTACTGGAAAAAAAATTTAGCTTTGTTTTGAACGTGGATACATAACCTCCAAATTAATTTCGGTAAAGGCATCGAATAACAAACACAACTTCATAATATTATATTATCGTTACAAAACGCGTGTGAATATAACATGAATTTGTGTATGTTAATGGTTTTGTTGTCCATTCAATGGATGAACGCTGTACAAGTGTATTTTCGGTTAAAAAGGCGTAAGCGTTCATTCCGGCGTTGGTGGGTTAGGCCGCACATTCGTAGTCATATACGACATGCTTGTGGTGGTTACCAAAAGTTATTTATTTACTTCATGAATGAGGACCACGAAGAGTTTTATCGGACAACAAGGATGACACCGGAGGATTTTGAATTATTACACGCGGTTGTAGGACCACGGTTAAGAAAATTTAGTCGTAGACAACCGTTACCAACGAGGCTTCGTTTAGCACTCACTTTAAAGTAAGTATTCATTTTATGAGTTTTCATGTAATTTCTATAGAATTTCTTTTCAATTTTCATCAAGTCTTAGAATAATTTTTATTTATTTTGAGGCATAATTTTACAGTAAAAATTGCATGGATTTTTCACTAGATTACCATATAAAATTTTAATTTTTGAGTAATAAGAGTAAATAATAATAATAATGAAGAAATAAATAGTATTAATAAAGCAATAATAATAATAAAAATAATTTTACGGTCGAATTTTCATAATTTGATATTTTGAAATTTTTTTTTGAAAATATTACTTATTATTATTATTATTTTTAATTAAAAATGTTACTAAAAATAAAGTACTGAATAAGTGAAACATATTTCATTCATTACATTTCTAATTGGAAAAAGGATTTCATTTGTATTTTGTTCACAGCTTTCTAGCTAATGGAGATAGCACAAGAACATCTCAAAATTTTTTTCGAGTAGGACGGTCCACCGTATATAATATAATAAAGGAAGTATGCACTGTAATTTTTTCGGAACTTTCACCCTGGTATTTTCGAGAAAGAACAGCGCCGGAATGGAGAATTATTGCTGGAGGTTTTAGAGGAAAGTGGAATCTTCCCAATTGCGTAGGAGCTTTGGATGGAAAAGAGATCTCCATAATTGCACCCCCCCATTCTGGAAGCCTCTTTTTCAATTATAAAAAATTTTTCAGCATAAAGCTCCTCGCAAGTTGTGATGCGTTCTACAGATTTACTTGGGCTGACGTTGGTGACTACGGTGAGAAAATATTAAATATAAACATGTATAGTATCAGTGAATGACGATAACTATAACTTTTAATTATTTTTTAATTTTAGTACAAAACTTAGTACTAATAAAAATTGTTTAAGAGACAAAAGTTTTAAAAAATTAAAACTTAGATTTATAAACAAGCTTGAAAAATCATTCTTCTAAGTAATCATTTTTTTAGGTTCTCAAAGCGATTTGTCAACCTGGCGAAATACGAATTTTTATCAGGCCTTGAGAAACAACCTCATTGATTTACCTCCGAGGTGCTCTTTGCCCCGTTCGGCAATACAGGTGCCTCATTTCTTTGTGGGAGACGAAATTTTCACGCAAAGAGATGAATACCTCATGACTCCAATTCCACGAAGGTACATCCTCACAGATGAACAGAGGCACTACAATTACAGGTATGTACATGCAGTATATGCAGACAAAAAAGGTAAGATAATTATTTTACAATTATTTTCAGAATTTCGAGAGCAAGGCAAACAATTGAGGTAGCCTTTGGCTTATTAACGTCAATGTGGCAAATTTTAAATCAGCCTTTACGATTCAGTTTGCAGACATGCATGATAATTGTGATGGCAACAATCTGCCTTCACAATTTTGTTCTTACAAGAAGACTACGACGTCAAGAAGAAATGACATTTCCGGAACCTGGAGTTGGTAAGAAAAATAGTGAATTGAAATTCACTTTAAAAAAGTGTATATTAAAAATTTGTTATTATACTTAATTAATAAAAAATTATTTTATACAGCTGATTCAGAATCAGACGAGGAGAATAATTATAATGACGATCACGATGACGATGATAATGAACAGGAAATTCCTAGAAACGTCCACGATCAAATAAATTTATTGGTGGCATACCTGAGTTCTAATGCTGGCAGAATGCAGCAATAAATAAATAAATAATTTATCGAAATTATTTTTCATTTAATGTTCATTAAAATCAACATGATTTTTTTTCTTTTCTTTCGCTATTTTAAACATCATTTTTTGGAATTTATTCTTTCATTTTTATTAAAAAATTTTATTTTTTATCAAAAAATTTTGTTTACATAAAGTCGTGCTTCGTAATATCATACAAGTTTTTCGTCATTGTATTATGAATAAACCTGTAAATACGTGTTCATGGATATGAAGTTACAGTACAATATATGTGTAAATTACAATTTGAATGTGGAAGATATAAACAAAGAATAAATACTTAAAAATTTGTATACAATGTTATTTTCACCAAAAAATATAGAATAGATTTTATGCTGTCGAATGACGTTGTCTTTTTTTATTTTCAATGGCATCAGCAATTGCGAAGAAACAATCTTTTCTTTTGTTTTCACGGACTTTTTTCCAGAATCCCAGGAAAACTGAAACATAATCATTCATTTTTTCTGAACTTCGAATATTGATTTCATCTTCTTGATCACCCTCAGCATTCAACTCCACACTGTCAACGTCATCCACATCTTCACCAACATCAGAATCTATCATTTCTTCTGATGAAACATCATCACAATCGATTGTTTCTATTGCTTCAATATCAGATTCTACTTCAACCGTTTCCAATTCCTTATTTGGTAAAGAATATGTTTCGAAAGAACTGCACAGAAAAAACGGAATGGTTAGGACATCCATATATATTGACAAAATTGATAAATATGGGATATCCATTTATATGGATATCACATCAATTTTTTTTTGTTAAAATATCCACTTCTATAGTTGGCACATCCATGAGAAATGGGCCTGTCAACTAAAAAAATGTATTTATCAATATAACTGGATGTCCCAACCATGTCGTTTTTTCCGTGTGTAAAATAAAATTAATAAAGTTTTAATGTTTCAGAAAATATAAATAAAACATAAATAAATCATCAATAATTAAGCATTATTATCCCAGTGGGCAATGGAACATTGGATGTCCTAGGGACGTCCTAAAGACATCCTATGTCCCCGTATCCACTGGGATATTATTGAAATATCCACTAAAAACTGGTTTTCTCTAGTTTTTTAATTCAAGTCATTGGAAAATAATCTTTAATTTAGGGCAAAAGTAACATAAACACATTCCATAATTTTTGCCTTGAATGTCTCTTTCAAAAAATGCATCACAATTTTAACGAAATAGCTATTTATGCACATACTTGTTATGTATTGGAACTTTTTCCAAAAATTTCATCACATCGTAATATTTAAATTCAACCTCATCCTCTTCAGGGGCTGCAGATCCTGATGGTATATATCTATTAATTTTCCCTCTCTCTTTCATGAAGTCTGTCTTTAGCTTGTCCCATTTTCTTTTAAGACTTTTCACTAATAAAATTATAAAAAAGGCAATTTCAAAAACTTTATATGTAATATTAAAAAAGAATTTATTAATGTACCTGCAGTTTCTTCATTGGTGATTACCAAGTATTCAGATGCAATTTCCTGCCAAGCTTTGTTTTTTGCAGTTTTATCTTTGTAATCTTCAATTTGTTTATTATAAATTAGAGGTTTTGCTTCTATTAAGCCAATTAAAATTTCATTTTTATCAATTGCAGCTACCATTGCAGAGAAATAATAATTTTTTGAAAATTAAAGAAAAGTTTAAATGCTCAAATAAAATGTGACTACAGACTGAATCAACGATTCATGTTTACAAAAAGCAGAAACAGCCATTTTAAATGTTTTATTAGGGTGCATTCCCATGGAACAGACTGACAAATTAAAGGATCAGTCGTACACCAATCAAAGAGCAGTTTCAGACAGTAAATAACGTTTGGCGCAAAAGACACAATTCTGATTGGCTACAATGTAAAATATATGCGTCACTGCGCTTACTGTGAGTGTAGACAGAAATTTCAGTTGTTAAGTGTAAAAACTTCCCAACCCTGATTTAGTTTTCTGCTTTAGAAGAAAAGTGTTCGAAAGTTTATTTATCTTTATATTCATTAAATAATTAAAAAATGAACGAAGACGAAAATTCGAAAGAAGTGAAAGCTTTAATAGAGGAGGTTAAAAAGAATCCTTGGATTTATGAAACTCGATTTCGTCATGAATATAAGGAAGATACGAAAGATAAAATGTGGAAAGAATTAGTGATAAAGAAATTGGCATTAAAAGGAATTAAACTGAGAGGTAAATTTCGATTTTCTCCCAAGTGTTATTTATGTATTTGTTATTTTCTCTTGATTTTGCCATTCTATATATTTATATTTACATTTTTTTTTAATTGTAAATTGTTTGTTTGTTTTTTTAAATTTTTAATTACTTTGTTTATTGCAAATCTTGTGTGAATACAAAATTTGTTAAATCAATTCCTTAAAAGATTTTTTCGAATTGTTGCAAAATGTTTAAACATTAAAATTTGATGTAGATCCCAGAAGACGGTGGGAAAAATTACGTTCAAAATTCACGCGTTTGGACAAGAAACCCAATGTAGTATGGGATTTATACAGTTCTCTACATTTTTTAAAACCGCACACTCATCATAGAAGGTAAATTTATTTGCAAGCATTTTTAAGTGTTATTTTATGTAATATTTTTTTTTAATAATACTTATAGCGATGTAATTAGTAATTAAAAAAAGAATCAGTTGAACAGTCAAAACAAAAATTTGTCCTACTGTAAATTTTTTTGGTTGGGAAGAAAAAGGCTATTTAAATATTGAAAATACTTTGTTAAATGTAAAGAACATTATTTTCAACATTTTAAACAATTATAAATTTTCAAATTACAATTTTTGGTCTATAAAGGAAACTATTCTGTAATTTTTCAATTATGTTACAGAAATCGTTTATTTACAGCACAGAAAATTGTAATTTTTATTTATATGCAATTTTTAATATTTCTAAATGTTAAAAAATAAAGATTTTTTACCCTTTCAATAAGCGCTTTTGACATTAAATTTGATGTATTCTTTAAAAAATTAAATTGCAATGTTGGACTGCAACTTTTGTTCTGATTGTTTATCAGATTATTCCTTACAAATTTTAATTGCAAAATTTTGACAAATTAACGTATAATCCATATGCTATTTAAAAATTTTACTTTTCATATTTTTCCAGCTCTGCAAAAGTACCTGTACAAATGCATAACATTGATGCACCTGGAAGCAGTAGAATGCTTACTTTCCCCTACGCCGCTGAAGGTATTATTATTATTATATTAAAAAATTAAAAATATTCGTATTGTAAAATTTTATTTTAGACATTAGAATGCCTTGAGTTTCTTATAAATTTTTCAGACTTTAGTATATTATTATATCATTACACTCTACTTTTACAGGTGAAATTATGGATCAATCTTCTATTTTTCAAAGTGGTGAGAACGATCAATATGAAGTATATGAGTGTGAATATGTGGATGATTCACTTAACCATCAAGATAACGATATTGAGCATGAGTTTGAGTCGTTAGATACTGTTGACAATGTGTTTTACATGGAAGACAATAATTTTGAGCGTGAATTTCAATTGCAGCTCGCGGATACTTCAGAAGGTGATCTTGAGTTTCAATTGCCTCCCAGCAGTGTTGAAGATATGGCTCACATCAATGAGAATAATTTTGACCCTAATGCTTATATTCAGCCATTAAATTCTGTTGATGATATGCTTTACTCAGAAAAGAAAAATCTTGAGCATCAGTCCCAATCACAGCCGGATAAAGAAGTAGACGATCTATTTTTAAAAGAAAAATTACCTACCTCTTCTTCAACCTCGAATTCAAGTCCTGCTGCACGTTGTACACAAAACCGATTTTCATCAACACCAAGTTTGTCACGAAAACAATCTCAATTAAAATCAAAAACACAATCTCAAATTAAGTCACAAACACAACAAAACAGAGTTAAAATTTTGCCAGCGCCAAAAAAATTAAAAACTAATGTCAAAATGGTCTCCAATTCTAAAAGCAAGAATCAACTTGGATTTAAAGTTCCAAAATTAGATCAATTCGCAAAAATAAAAAAAAAGAAAATCGATGATGAAAATCAAGAGGCTATTAACTTTTTTAAAAATGCATCGAAATTTAACGAGCAGGCTTCGAAAATTTTGCGCTTGAAAGAGATAGAGTTGAAAACAAGATTAAAATCAAAGAAAAAAATGAATCCACTAATAGAGAAACTAACGGAACCAATAATGATTGCAGATGGATTTTTTAATATTATTAATAAAAAGTGGAATACGCTAACCGAAGAAGAACAAGATGAACTCTTTCCTGACATTTTAACAATATTCGAGAAATTTCAATCTTAATAAGCGACTAATTTTTTCCAATATGATAAATTCAACTCTCACTTTTATGGTTTTTACATTCTTACTTCTTGTATCTCATAATTTTTTGCATTCTTTTTTCTGTTAGTATGACAAAATGTATATTAAAATGTATGTTTATAAATTAGGTTTTAATTTTTTTTTTTTGAAAAATTCTAATTTATGTATTTTGAAAAAACTGAAATTTTTTCCTGCAAGATTAATTTCCTTGCAATACATTTTTAATGCAAATACTAATTTATCTTATAAGCACAAAGCTATTGTTTTTTTAAGATAATTTTAACATTTTTTTAAATACCGAAATATCTTCGAAAATGTTTATTTTACAATAAAGAAAGTCTCATTACCTGAAAGTTGACTTTTATTGTTCAATGTTTACGCATACATATTTTTGATTCACCGTAAAATTTATTCATTACAAATTTCAATAAAATATTTTTTAGAATTCGATTTTTTAAAAATTCTATAATTCTTACATATTTATATTAATTAAAAGTTTTAAAGGTATGACAAATTAATGACATTCTTTCAATCAGGTGTCGTTACCGAAATTAATTTGGAGGTTATGTATCCACGTTCAAAACAAAGCTAAATTTTTTTTCCAGTAGTTGGCAATTCTTCAAAACATTCGCGTAACTTACGTGT